CTCCCCTCCCCGAGGGGTGGCAGACCCACCCCAGCGAGGCTCAGAGGCCATGCAATGGACAGTGGGTGTGTGGGGTCATTGCACCCTGTGGCTCTGGACACACCCTGTGCTAGAAGGCAGGGTGAGGACCTGAGATGATGGGCCAGGTCCACTTTGTCACCACTTTGTCCTCTGTGTTGACACAGCGCGGAGGCCTAATAAATGGGGCTCCATTGAGTCCTCAGGGCCCAGCACAGAGCCTGGAGCACAGCTGGCACTTAAGGACTTTGTGGAGATGAACAGAGAAAGGGAGAGAAAGAGAGAAAAGGAGAAGAGGCCAGGAGGAAGGGAGGACAGCTGAGCTGGGACGACTTACACGCAGCTGCGTCCGGCCCTGGCGCCCACTGTGACTGCGAAGCAGGGCCCAGCCTGCTCCCTGTCACTCTCACGCTTCTCATTCCCACCTGTGCAATGAAGCGATGGAGTGGTCTCACCTGCCGGCGAGCGTGAGCCTAGAGGGCAGATGTGAGGGTGCTCCAGACCTGGCATGTCAGCAAAGCGCTCCTGGACTGCTGTGGAGGGGCTCGCGGGGGGCTCTGTGTGAGCTGGGCTCAGCCAGGCCTCTGGAGCCCCGGCCCACCTCCTTGGGACTTGGGAAGGGCTTGGCGTTGGTGCCAGCCTGCTCGATGGGTGATGAATGACTTGTTTATCTGCTCCCACCCCTCCTGGTGCCTGGCAGGCAGAGGCCAGGGAGTGGGGGGGAGGCAGGGAGGAGGGGCTGGAAAGGGGTGGGAGTGGGGGACAGGCTCAGACCCTGGCATTTCCTCCCTCCAGCCCTCCCTCCCTTCTTCCCTTTCATCCCTGCTGGTTCTAGAACACTCTGCTCTACCTCCCAATTTAGCATCAATCTCCCCCTTAGCTGCATCCTAAGTGCCCAGGACTCATGTCCCCCAAACTGCCCATTTGGAGGCAGCAGGTTTAAATGTTCACATCAGACAGATCTTGACCACATCACAGTCCCGACTGTGGGGCTCACCGGCGGCCGGCTCGCCACTCCCTAGCCTGTGAAAGATGCTGAGAACATACAAGTAAGAGGGGCTCCACCGTCCTCCCCAAGGCTTCGGCGTCTCCTTTCCCGGCTGACCCTCCCCTGTGCGGTGCTTCTCCAGCCCGGGAAGAGGCCCCTCCGGCCCTCCCTCTGCCTGCTCCCTGCGTGGGCTGGTTCCAACAATCCCCAGCAAGTTGTGAACATTCCCATTTTACAGATGACAGTGCTCATAAAATCTAGACCCGCGAGGCTCCGAGGGGTGAGGGGTGACCTGGCTTCTGCTCCATGCCGCTGCGCCAGTTCCGGAGGGCTGGATGGCCCCGCGCCAGCAAGCCTGTTTCCCCTCCCTTCCTTCCAGCTTTTTTCCTCCATAAATGCTACAGGCCAGTGGTTGCTTAGATCTTCTCTTCTGTGGACAGGGCGACCTAATCCCACGTTTGAGAAGCGCTATGGATCCTCTCAGCCGAAGAGTAAGACCCAGCCTTAAGCTCTCCTTGGCACGGGGTGGAAGCGTAAAGGTCATTGTGCGCCCCCTAGAGGCAAGTCCTGTGAGTGGACTTTTAGGTGCTTTTCGGCTTCGAAGGTGGCGGCCCTCGCTCAATTCAGGGGATATCTGTGGGTGTCACAACAAGGGGGACAGTTCCATTGGTATCTATTGGATAGCTGCTGCAGGAGCTGCTACTCATCCTGCAATGCACAAGACAGGCCCCGCCACAAATTACCCGGTCCGCCATGTCATTAATGAAGAAAAGAAACCTGCCCCAAGAACAAGGGTTATTATGCAGGTGATCAGGCCATCCCCATCTTTGGGCAACTCTGATAAGAAGCAGAAAATTGTCCCCCAATTCTCCCTCTCATTCGTTTGCCCTGTTGACTCTAGAATCTAGAATCACCTATTGATTCTAACCCCAATTTTTCTCAAATTCACTCTCGTGAGTCTTTATCTCATCTGCATTATTATAAAATAATCTTCCTGCCCCAATGATATTAGGGCATGACTGGCATTCAGTGTGTGAAGTCCAGAAATGCTAAGCACCCTGAAATGCACAGAACTGCCCCAAAAAGACTTTCAGATTTCTCACCAGATACTCAAGTGGGCAAAAAAAAAAAAAAACAACAAAAACAAAAACAAAAAATAAAAACATCATGTTGAGACAAGACCTCCAGTCCACAGAAAACACAAAGTGTTGAGGGTTTTAAATATATATATATATATACTTTAAGATTTATTTATTTATGCTTACAGAATGGGAGAACAGGCCAGAGATGTGGTGGGTGAGAGGATTCACCAGAGACAGAGTGGGGACCAAAACAGGCAGATCTGCTAAAATACACTGCTGAGGGGAGCAGCAGGCAGGTCAGGAAAGGTCTACCACACCACGTGGGTCAGCTTCCTGGCTGGGGATTGAACTCATGCTACAGTGGCTTTGGAGAGCTTCATAATGCGGTGTTTTAACCATTGAGCCACCAGGGAGAGCCCATTAAAAATATTTTTTTAAGGCCCTCCCTGGTGGCGCAGCGGGTTAAAGCACTGCACTGAGAAGCTAAAGCCACTTCCGCTGAGTTCGATTCCCGCCTGCCCGGGAGGTGACCACATGGCGTGGCAGACCTCTCCTGACCCGCCCGCTGCTCCCCTCAGCAGTGTGCTTCGTCAATCTGCCTGTTCTGCTCCCCACTCTGTCTCTGGTGAAGCCTCTCACCGCCCCGAGCCTCTTGCCTGTACCCCAGCTCTGTATGCATAAATAAATAAATCTTTAAAAAAAATATATATTTTTTTAAATGTACCTTTAAAAAAATTTTTATACCACATTGCAGATGTGTCTTAAGTGATAAGCATGATATATTATAGTACCTACTTGAACTTCTTCATGACATTTAAAGATTTATGCATGCATGCATGCAAGAACTGGGGTACAGGCCAGAGGTGCGGGGTGTGGGAGGATTCACCAGAGACAGAATGGGGAGCAGAACAGGCAGAATGACTGAAATACCCTGCTGAGGGGAGCAGTGGGCAGGCCAAGAGAGGTCTGCCATGCCATGTGGGTCCGCTCCTTGGCCAGGGACAGAACCTCATGCTGCAGTGGTTTCTGATAGCTTGATAGCACTGAGACTTTAACACCTGTGCCACGAGGTAGGTTCCTTCCTCTTATTCTTACCTAAATACTCAGGAAAGTGTCTAGTGGTTCCTTAAACATGACATGCTTATTCATACCTCAGATATGTAGACATTGTTGTCTTCTTGTGGAAGTTTATTCCATCTTTTCTCATCCATATAGGACCAACTTCTCATTTTTCAAAAATTCCTCCATGTCAAAGTTAGGTGGCCCTAACTTTGTAGAAAATAATAGTAATAGTAGTGGCAGTAATTTACCGAACACAACCATGTAAGTCACTGTTTCTAACACATCAGAGGTACCAGTTCACAGAAATCTATGAAATAGAAACTCTCACTGCTCTATTTTGCTACTTGAAAAGTGAAGAGTTAGAGAAGTTAGGGAGTTCGTCTGTGTTGTCAGAGTTGCTAATGGTGAAGCCAGCTGCAAAGTCCCCAAGTCTGAATCCTTAATGCACAAGTCTTATGCATTATGTGAAACATAACAGACTTGCTAATATCTGCAAGTGTATTTTTCCATCACTGGACACTATGCCAGAGGACAGGAACTGAGTCTTTTCATTCTGGAGCCTCCAGAGGCGGACACCCTGAGAATGGAGTCACATCTTAACAGAAGAACAAATTAATCCCCAAATCACATAGTCCAAAATGACCCACATGTGTTTTGTCAGCTTCTGATTGCTGTTAGAACAAATAACCACATACTTGGGACTTAACACAATATGTGTTTATCATTTTAGAATTCTGGAAATTAGAACTTCTAAACAGATTTTAATGGAACAAAATCAATATGAAAAAGAGACTAAATTCCTTCTGGAAGCTTTGAGAAGAATCCATTTACTTGCCTCTTCCAGACTTTGCATTCCTTGGCTCACGGCCCTATTATTCCCTCTTCACAATCAGCAATACTGAACCCAATCCTTCTCATGCTGCCATTTCTCTGGTTCTTGTTTCTGATCTCCCACTTTCAAGGATTCTTGTGTTTGCAGTAGGTCCACTCAGATACTCCAGGATAATCTCCTTATTTTAAGGAGAGTGGGCTAGCAATTTTATTTCCATCTACAAAGTTAATTACCCCTTTCCAAGAAACTTAACATATGTGCAAGTTCTGGGAATTTGGTTGTAAACATTTTTAAAGGGGTCATTATTCTGCCAGTATTGGAAACCCTTAATTTACCCACAGAAGGGAGTTTAGTGAGAAAAAATTTGGGAGAGTTGTTTCAAAGCATGGATTCCAGAGCAACATTAATTGCCTCCAAATCCCAGATTCACTACATAGCTTCTTTGTAAAATGGGAGTTAGTATAATAATGTCTACTTTGCAGGTTTGTGAATACCTAAAAGGATGCCTGGCATGGGCTAGGTGTTAATTAAATAGGGCAATTTTATGGGCATGTTCAGCATTGAAACAAGGTTTTAATGTCTGACTGAGCCTCAGTGAAATCACTAGCTTAACTAACCTCATCCAGCTGGAGGTCCCTGGGGAGAGATTTAACTGGGTAGTCCCACTTTTCTGTCATTCCTGGAAATTAACTTACTAAATGAAAGAGGGTGATAAAATAATCAGTGCTATCTTTTGTTTATATTGTGCTATGTGGGCAGTTGAATTAGTAAAAATGAATTATAACTTGAGGTGACCTCATTGTAAATATTTGCTGAATTAATGAGTGAACAGATGGATGGACAGAAGGATGGATGGATTTGCCTTCCTGAGATGCGTCTCCACCAAACATGCCTCCAAATGTGCCCTCTTACTTGGATACTCCAAGGAGGCAGCCATGGAGAAGTGAGAAGAGTGGCTCCAAGTTCTGGCATCTGACGAACTTTTGCACTTCTTCAGGACGGGGACAGGCCATTCAGCACCATGGAGAGCAGCCCCAGCAGCCCTCAACCCACACAGTCAGATCCACTGGAGGCCTTTCCCCAAAGGAGCCTGGAGCCAGGTGACATAGCAGTGCTGGTTCTGTACTTCCTCTTTGTCCTGGCTGTTGGACTGTGGGTAAGCCGGGTGGGAGAGTGGTGAGGGCAGGGGGAGGGGGAGGAACTGTCTGGTCAGAGGTCCTGAGCCACGCCCAACACTTGGAAAATAAGAGTGAGTTAGAGAGGGACATGGGAGAAAGGAATAGAGGGAAGGAGGGAGAAGGAAAGTGGGGAGAGATACTTATATGTCCTGTTACTGGATATGTTACCTATTTTATAGATAAGGAAACTGAGACTCAAGGAATTTACATTAGTAAGTCCATGATTTTTCTATAAGGTTTTATTTTAAGAGCACTACAGTCACATCGTTCGAAAGTAAAAACAACTTAAAATGACATACAGAAAAAGTCTCGCTGCTATCCTTTCCTCTACAAGTAACTGCTGCTGTTAACTTTTTAGTATATCAGTACATGCTTTCAAGGTCTCTTATGCAAATACAAGCAAACATCAATATGCATGTCTCTCTTAAATAGAAGGTAGCAGCTTATAATATATACTGTTTTTTTATCTTACTATTTTTTAGTTACCTTAGATATCATAGGATATACATAGGATATTCCTCGACTTCTTAAACATTGCAGAGTATTCATTAGTTGATTATGCTGGAATTTGCTAGGCCTGAATCTGCTGAAGGTCATTTGGCTTGTTTCCCACCTGTAATTATTACAAGTTATGCTGCAATAAATAAACTTTGTACACTCATTATCTTGAATGTATACATTTATAACAGGATAAATTCCATGTAGTGGAATTTTCAGGTTAAAGAACTTTGCATTTGTAATAATGATAGTATGTGTCAAACTGTCTCCCTCATAGCTAGGCTCATCTACACACATATCATTAATATATGAAAGGATGTGCATTTTATCGTATCTTCACACATATCCACATGGTATTGTCAAATGTTTTCATTTTCACTGAACTAACAGAGGAAACACAATCTGTCCATGTACTGTTAATAGCATTTATCTTATAAGAAGTGAGGTCTTGTTGAAGGCCTCACATAACTTTAAGTGCCATGATTTCCTTTCTTGAAGCATGATTTCATATCTTCTCCATTATCACTAGGTTTTTACCTCTCAGTTTCTGGGAATTCTACATACTAAGGAGGTTAGAACTCTGGGATAAGGTTGGTAAAGAGGATCTATCAGATTTTCAGGCCTTCAGGTACAAAGGACTTAATACTGTAGCCCACAGGATTGTCCCCACTTCGGTCTGATTATTTGCCCTTCATTTCTCTCAAGCCCTTAGCTTTCCTTCCTCCAGATCAAGATGTGCTGGACACCCCAAAGATCAGACCCTCCACTTAGGAAGACTCACTGAGGTGGGTCAGGTGGTGTTAAGAATCAGGGCTTTGGGGCCAGATAGCCTTGAGATTAGGGTTAGGATTGGGGTGGAATTAGGTTTAGCAGTCTGAGGGATCTGTATTCTCACAAGAGACTGAGGAGACATCGATGTATTTCTGGTTTGGAGAGCCCTGGACTTCGATGATCCTTTTTAGAACATCAAATTTTTTATTCTTAGAAAACATATCCTTGGTCAGAATTCAGCAGGAATGAGCCACAGTGACTATTTACAATTACAAGGTCATTTATAGGAAAGAAGTTACTGTTCCATGCTATCTCTTGTCTGACAATAATCCCCTCACCAACATCTACCCTCAGGGTCTCCAAGAAATTAGACAATTAATCCAAGCTCAGACAAGTTGCTTAGAGGTCAGAATATCTCTATTAAAATACTTTCACTGCCAGGAAACACACTCTTCCTATAGAGTATTGTAGATCAGCTAAAAACATAGGGTCCCAAATCAGGCTGGGCTGGGTTGAATTCCCAACCCTTCTGTTATCTAAAAATATAGTACTAGATGAGTGACTTTACTGTCTGGCCTCGGTTTATCTATCTGTTACAATGGCCAAGTGACATCAACTTCTTAGGATTGGGTAAGAGCTGAAATGAGATAATACTTTGCATAGTATCTGGCATATAGCACTGGCACTCAATAAACAGTATACATTATGAATTACCGAAGATAAACTGTGGGTCTAAACCTCAAACACTGAGGAGCTTGGGCAAATAGGTTTTCATAAATTTAATTAAGCTAAGGGTAATACAGCATAATTGACCTGAAGAATTTACATCTCCTCTAATGGCATTCAAATTAAAAGCTTAAAAAACATGAGTCAAGCAAAAACATTTTTGAGGCTCAAATCTACACTGCTGGGCTCCCAGGTTAGGATGCTGATTGCTGACATTTTCCCTCACCCCACCTTTTCTTTTTTTTTTTTTCAGTCCACTGTGAAGACCAAAAAAGACACAGTGAAGGGTTATTTCCTGGCTGGAGGGGACATGGTGTGGTGGCCAGTAAGTGGTCTTTGGTTGCATTAGAGTGAATTCTCAAAGAATGTTTAAATGCAGATATTCTGTCTAGCCTTTGCGCTCTCAAGACTATGGTTTCATGTTGGCCGAGAATCACAGTCTAAATTAGAGAAGTCTAAGTCCCAGTTCAGATATATTTAAACAAAAAAAAAGAGAATTTATCAACTTAGCTAAGAGAAAAATCTAGGGTTCAAGTTATGGCTGACTGCAGGGATCAAGTGGTGTATAGCACATCTAAAACACTTAGAAGAAAGAGAGGGGGAATGAGATGTTCATACAGTGCTCACTATTCTGACATAGCACTGACATTTTCCTAAGAAGGTCATGAGCATGTCTGGTATTGTGCAAAAGCTTAGAAAAAATTTGAAAAGGTCCAAAATGCTCAACTCTGGTTGACTTTGAGTCTCTGCATGAACAGGAGTGAAGACTAAGGCAAAATTGTATGAATTTTGTTGAATGTTTACAAATTGTATGCATTCTCCAACATGCATACAAAATTTCTTGACTATGACTGAAAGAATTACTGGTTTCATATACTTAAGGAAAACTCTGTTTAGTTACTGACTGTCTACTAAACTGAGTAGTGACTAAGTTAGCTTAGTCACATCTGACAAAGAATACAGAGATTTTTGAATTAGCTTAAGAAGATCACCAATAACAGTAGTAATAACAACAAATAACAAAACCACAAACCTTTAGGAGTGAGGAATAATCAAATGTCTAGAGTTACAGAATGATTTATTTTAAATGTCCACTTTTAACAAAAAACCATAAGACATTCAAAGAAATGAAAACAGATGGCCCATGTATGAGGAAAAAGAGCAATCACTGGAAAGAGTCCCTGAAGGAGCCAAGATATTACATTTACAGACAAAGACCCTAAATCGGCTATTTAAAATATGTTTAAGTAACCAAGAGAATGTATGTCTAGAGGACTGAATAAAAATAAGAGAATACTGTCTCACTGAATAGATGATAATAAAGCATAATTATAAAAAAAATAGAAGCCTGGTGTTGGTAAACATAGTAAGTAAAATAAAAAATCCATGGGATGGGGCAGGGGGCACTCAACAACCTATTTGAACAAAAATAATAAACCAGTGAACTTGAAGACTGGCCAATTGAGAATATCAAGTCTAAGGGACAGAAAGAAAAAATAATGAAAAAAAAAAAAGAAAGAAAGACAGAAAGAAACTCAGACATCTCTGGAACACCATCAAGCATATTGACATGCACATGGTGGACTTGCCAGGAGAAAAGAAAAGGGGGACAAAGACTCGTGATAGAAATAATGGGAAAATACCAGCCACATGCTTTTTTTTTTTATCCATTCTCTTCTTTTTTCCCCTCTGCTGGACTGAACCCTTCCCATCAACTTGCATACTTCTTCAACAAATCATCCAAAAAGTCCTCCCAGGACTCATATTCCCCTATCCACTTACTACATCATGTTTTCATCTAAAGAGCTATGTGAAAAGTTTCCATTTTTCTGTTCACCCTTCAACCCATTCCAGTGAGGCTTCTGTTTATTCTATCCCATGGAAATGTTTCTGCTAAACTCACCAATGGTCTCTATGTTACTAAATCCAACTACTTAGAAATCCCTCTTTTTTGGCCTTTCAGCATCATCAACTCATTTGGCCTTGAGGCAATCACCTCTATTGGCTTTAAAGATATTACCTTCTCCAGCTTTATTAAAAATAGTTATCTTCACATACAAGAAGATCAGTAAATTTTAAGTGAAAAAAAAAGAAACTTCAAAGAGAGTCATACCTTGACTCATCATAGTCAAACTGCTGGAAATTGATGACCAAGATCTTGAGAGCAGCAAGAAAAATGAATCGTCACCTAAACAGTTCTGCATTCATGGTCTTATAATGTATAAAGACAGCATCTATAAGACAATAATAGCACAAAGGAAGGTGAAAGTAATGGACCTATTTAAGAGCAAAGATTTTATATACTCTTGAAATTGTCACTATTAATCTGAATTTTACTTTTGCAACTTAAGATGGATGCTAAGTGGATCCCCAGGGCAACCACTAATAACTAAAGAAAGGAAAACAGAGAAACAATAAAGGAATCAAAATGGCACACTAAATATCTATTTGACACAGAAGAAGGCAATAGTGGATCAATAGAGGGACAACAAAGGCAGACAATAGGAAATGCATGGCAAGTGTACATTCTACACTTTGGTATTATATTAATACCAATAGCCAGAGATTAGGAAAATTGATTTAAAAACACAACCCAAAAATATTTTGTCTACAACAAAAGACAAAGACATAGGTTGAAAGTAAAAAGATGGAAAAAAATAACAAAGAAATAAAAAAATTATGCAGTGATGATATCAATGGTGCTCAATCATTGGAATGACTACCAATATCAGCCAAAATAGACTTTAACACAAAAGTGATTACTAGTGACAAAGACATTATAGAACACTAAGAGGCTCAACTAGCATCTATACACCTACCAATGCACTAGAATACTTTAGAAGCAAGAAATGAGTGTTGAAGGGAGAAATAGAAACCCAACATTAATAGCTGGAGACTTCAATACTCAGCTTCCAATACTATGCACATATACAGAACAACCATGCAACATCAGTAGAATGTATATTATTCTTAACAAATGGAACATTCTCCAGCATAAACTATACCTTGGGCTGTATGTAAGTCTCAATATATTTTATTTGATTGAAATTGTATAAAATATGTTGTTTTCCCACAGTTGAGTAAAATTAGATATTAATAGCAGAAGGAAGCTTGGGAAATTTACAAATATATAAAAAATCAAGCAACATGCTTTTAAATAATGGGTCAAAGAAGAAATCAGAAAGGAAATTAGAAAATACTTTGAGGGGCCTCCCTGGTGGCACAAGATTAGCTATGGGCAGTCACTGCAGCACAAGTTCAATCCCTGGCCAGGGAGGTGATCCACATGGCGCGGCAGACCTCTCCTGCCTCACCCGCTGCTCCCCTCAGCAGTGTACTTCGTCAGTCGGCCTGTTCTGCTCCCCACTCTGTCTCTGGTGTGCAGGGGCAAGACACAGGTTCCATGATTCTCTTGCAATACTTCCTACAACACCTCTCAGCCCTCACTGAGGGATGCTGTGGAGAGGTGCTCAAGTCGTGCACTGTACAGCTAACTGTAGGGGGCGCTATTCCATGTAGAGATCATAGACAGGCGTATTTGCAGCACCAGTTTCTGACAGATGGAAGTAAAACATCTTGGGGAGCGTCTTTTTTTCTAAATTGAAAAAAAAAAATACAGGAGAACAGCACTCCCGCCTCCTCCACGCGGTTGCTTTGGTCCCTTTGGAGTGTGGCAACAACTCCAGTGAAGAGAAGCTCAGCTCCAGACCTGACCTGTCCGTTTCCCCTAGGTGGGTGCGTCTTTGTTTGCCAGTAATGTTGGAAGCGGACATTTCGTTGGCCTGGCAGGGTCAGGTGCTGCTGCGGGCCTTTCTGCAGCTGCGTACGAGTTTAACGTAAGTATTTTTCCAGGGTGTAGACAGCTCACCTTCCACTTAACAGGGTTAGTTGTGGACTGCCCTGACTTTTAAAAACAAAGGGATGCTGAATGGAAGGACCAGCAGGAAGCTCCCGGGACTCTCCTCCCTGGTCAGTGAAGCCCCAGGCTTCCTGTGTTTGCTGGCCAAGTCCATCAGGCCGCAGCCCCCAACGAACAGGCGTGTGGAGAGTAGGGCTTAGCGAGCCACCCCTGTGGCTGCGAAAGATGAAGGCATGATGCTTCCGGAGGGGTGTCTGTTGTAGTCCACTGGCCTTCACAGAAAACGTGTGGCTCAATGGTCCTTGCCCTTCCGCCACCCCCCAGATGCCCAAGAGTGAGCACCCGCTCTGCTGTGCAGCGGGCTTCATCCAGGACTGACGGGGGAGGGGCATGCTGATGAATAAGTTTTCATCTTCATAACAACTAACTTTTAACTTTTAATCATGTTCACTCTCTATCATAAATAGGGTGTCACATTAAAGGATTCAGCGACAGACAGTTCAATCAGCCAGATCTCCTGGCTCTGACATTTCCAAGCTGTGCAACCCTGGGCAAGTCCCTTCCCCTCTCTGAGCCCCATCTCTGAGATAGTGATAAAATGGCGCCTGCCACCTGGAGGCTCCTTTCGCGGCCCCCTTCCAGCCTCCCAAACGGCGGGGGTGAACCCTTGCTCTGTTTTCTCCGACAGGGCTTGTTTTTCGTGCTGATGTTGGCCTGGATTTTCCTCCCTATCTACATCGCTGGTCAGGTGAGTCGGAGGGTGGGGTGCTGGGGAATGACCTCTTTAAAAGGCCAACAACCTTACCCGTGGTGCACCTGTTCATTCTCTTAAGGTGCTTTCAGGCATCAGGTCTCAAGAGCGCTGTAGTCACATCTGTCACCCTTTAGATGGTTACCGTCTCTTTTGTCTTGTTAAATTTTTTTTTTTTTACTCCAAGTTCCTAGAGACCTTTTACAATACTCTACAACTCTTCAAGATCAAGTCCAATCATTATCCACCTAGCATTGAGTTTTCTCTGCCATAACTGGAGAAGGAGCTAATGTGAAGACTTCCCAGTAAGAATAATACAGATGGCTTTATTTTTTGCATTGTTCATTATTTATCCCCCAGAAAGTACTTTTTTTTTCTTACCACCTCCCCTTTACTACCCCACTAAGCCTTTCTGCTCCCCAACCTCTTAAGTCAGACACCTCACTTTGTTCGTGTCTGCTAGTTTTTAAAGTATTTTGCTTTGTTGAGTCACTATGTAAACGTCCACTATCTGTCTGTCATTTGGGCTTGCTCAGTGCCCTAATTCCCTGGACCACCTCCCATTTTGCTGTAAGTGGGAACATTCCATCTCTCATGGTGATATTCTACTGTGGGATATGGGGACCTTTTAAACCTCCCTCTATAGGCAGGTGCTATGTTTATCTGCCTGCTCTGGCAGAGAACATGTAATTTTTTGAACGGATACTTTCTTTTTTAATAAAAGATTTATTTTATTTATGTATGCATACAAAAGCTGGGGTACAGGCCAGAGATGTGGGAAATGAGAGGATTCACCAGAGACAGAGTGGGGAGCAGAACAGGCCGACCCACTGAAATACACTGCTGAGGGGAGTGATGGGCGAGACAGGAGAGGTCTGCCGTGCCATGTGGTCACCTCCAGGGCGGGGACTGAACTCGTGCTGCAGTGGCTGCGGACAGCCTCATAATGCCGACACAAAGCCCTTGCGCCACCAGGGAGGCCTCTGAACTGATACCTCCATGCTTTTCAACAGATGCGTGAAAGCGGGCATGCAGTGTCCGAGGATGCTTCCATTTTTAGTTGCTTAAAGTGCACCCAGACTGCATTTCAGAATGCTGCTCCTGTCCTTACCCGCCAGTGTGTCTGCACATCCTCTCCAGCGCTCACTGCTGGTCTTTGTTACTGTTGTTACTACGGATCATTCTCACAGGAGTGAGATGATACCTCCTTGTAGATTGGACCCGAAGTTCCCTACTAAAGATGACAATGGACGTTTCCCATGCACCTTTTAGATGTTCCCTCTGGTCAATTGTTTGCCCAAATCTGCTACCTGCTTTTTGTTTGGGTTGTTTGCTTTTTATTGTCAAATTGAGTACGTTTCCGTATATCTATTATATCCAGGAATCTGTTAATCCCCTCTGTTATGTGTGAATGTTTTCTCCCCTTTAATATGAAGTCTTTTTAATCCATTTTCAACTACTTACAATGGTATGTGGTTTTGTTTAATAAGCGGCACTCCGAACTGTTTATTTTTGCTTTTATTTCCCATCTTTATCATTGAGGTCCTGAAACGTATTGCCCATGGCCTTACATATTTTGTGTGGCAAGTCTCACGGGGGTTCCTGGAGAAGACAGGGTTCAGGTTTTGCCTAGAGACATGGGCTTACAAAGCAGAAATGCCCAGCTGTTGCTGGGCTGAGCAAACCGAGGTGCTGAGACAAGTGTCACCTGTGGGTCATCCACACTGCCTTTGAGGCTGCTTCCAGACTGGGGGACCGTCTAGAGGAAGAGGAAGACAGTTAGAGAACTGGCATTCTCACCAAATCTGGGGCTGGGGGCCAGTGAGGGTGTCTCCAAAGCCAGACGTCACAGTTTCCAAGGAGGGAGGGGTTTCCAGGAGGATGGAGGTGTGATAACTTGGGTATGATTGGGGGGTGCACACACAGATGTGGAACTCTCCTGGCCGCCTCCACCCAAGGATCTGAGGACTGTGAGGGAGGAAGGTGCCACCTGCCGAGGGGCCCCAGGAGAGAGACAGCTGAGTGGGGCCGCCACCTTTATCAACGAGTGACAGTCACCCAGTGACAACCAGTTTCTGGCTCACCAATTTGTCACCCCTCACGTCTGTCTGACTGTCTCTCGCAGCCAACTTGCTAGAAAACTGCCTTTTGGGTGAAACAAAAATCAGTTATTGGTGGCTGGCAGCAGCGATAGAGTCTGGCTCCTAGCAAGACCAGCTGGCGCTTGGCACCCTCCGGGGAGCCAGGGGGCCCGCTGGGGAGCTGAGCGCTTGCTGGGTCTGCTCGTGGGTGTCTGAAGCCCCCCTCCCTTCTCTAATTCTCCCTTAAGGCCTCGCAGGGGATGTGTCCAATTATGTGCCTTGATGGACTCTCCCGGGAGCCAGTTCCCAGGGTGTCAGTCCCACAGAGCGCCTTTGTGGGAGACCCTACTGTGTTTGCCTGGCAGCGAATCACCCAGGAGGCCCCTCCTTCACTAAGTCAGAATCTCAGATTGCCCGTTGGGGAAAAGGAAGAAAGAGGAACTTGGTTTTCTGTTTAAAACGTCCGTGTAGTCTCGGAGTCCTTTTTTTGTTCCTGGTCTTTTACTATGAAAACCTTTCAAACTGACAACAAACTTGAAGTAATATACTGGATGGACACCACTGCATTCTAGAAAGGCAGTTCTACCATTCACGGTGGGCTTTCTTTCTTTTTTAAAGATTTATTTATGCTTACAGAACTGGGGTGCAGGCCAGAGGTGCAGCGGGGGTGAGACGATTCCCCAGAGACAGAGCGGGGAGCAGAACAGGCAGATGGAGGAAGTTCACTGCTGAGGGGAGCAGCGGGCGGGTCAGGAGAGGTCTGCTGCACCATGTGGGTCACCTCCCTGCGTGCTGCAGTGGCTTCGGAGAGCTTCATAATGCTGCTTTAACCTGTGGCACCACCAGGGAGAGCCCGAGCTTTCTTTTAAAAATTTTTTTTTTTTTTGCGGTAACATTGATGTTTCATATTATGTATGTTTCAGATAAACAGCGTGTGTAATTCCAGAGTTGGTTCTGGTCACCTAGTCTCTCCTGGCCCCCCCTCCTGGGCCTCATGCCTTTACCTTCTGGCCCGGGAGTGGGCGGTTGCCGTTCCTCGGCCGCTGCAGAGTTTCTATCAGTCTCCTTCCTGGGTCAGCTCAGGGCTCCTCAAGCAGCAGCCGCCTAGAAAGGGAGCTGCTGATTTTCCTGCAAGTCATCACCCCTCTTACTCCCCACCCACCATCAAGTCTCTCTTAGGAGAATTGGTGTTGGTTTGGAGTCCCAGAGTTTAGACCAGAGGATGTCTCAGCTCCACGTCTGGGGGTACAATGGGGTGGGAGTTTGGGGGAGGATCTGGTAAACTCCAAGAAAGTGCCACCCAAGTAATGGTTCTCAAATGCTTGGCCTTGCTCCTGGGGTGCCCCCTGTGGGAATGACCTGGGTTCCCCACGTGGGAGTCGACATAACTCAGGACTTCCTGGGAGAGGAGGTCTCTGCAGGAGCCTGGATGTTTTGCTTCTCCGGGTCACTGGCTAGGGGCTTATGGTGAGCAAGGACCCCAAAATTTGGAGCCCAGATAAATAGAGTCTCACGATGATTTTGGGCCTTCAGGGGTGCTGCCTAGACTGACACCCACAGTGAAGCTGTTGCATTTTCCATTGTCTCGGTTGTTCCACGGCCAGACGCGAAGAGCAGGTCTCCTATGCTGCTGGTCTGTCTTCAAGGCCTTTCCTGCCCCTCCAACAGCCCTGTGTGAAAATGTGGGGCACGGAGACTTAGTGATTCACAAGCGATATGAAGAAGGGGCCCCAGGCACCAAATGACTCACTGTTTTAAAGAAAGTGGGTAGGCTGCGGGCCCAGAGCCCCATGTGCCACCGTGAGTTGCCAGAAAAGAATCGGAACGAAGTGAATTGTTCCACTAGTCATTGTGTTTATTTCTGCTGGCTCCCTTATATTTAAGATTGAGCGTCCACTGTCAGTGTGATTTAAAGTTTCCTTTTTAGATGAAAAAAAATTTTTTTTTTAAGATTTCTTTACTTATGCTTACAGAACCGGGGGTACAGGCCAAAGGTGTGGTGGGTGAGAGGATTCACCAGAGACAGAGTGGGGAGCAGGACAGGCAGATCGACAAAGTGCACTGCCGAGGGGAGCAGTGGGCAGGTCAGGAGAGGTCCGCCGGGCCATGTGGTCACCTCCGGGGCAGGCGGGGATCGAACTCATGCTGTACTGGCTTCAGAGAGCTTCATAATGCGGTGATTTAACCCGTTGAGCAACTAGGGAGAGTCCCTGAATTTATTGAAATAAAAACATGTGTTGCTTTAGCACTGAAAAATAGAGCAGTGACCAGAAGGGACGGGGAGGGAGGGCGGAGGCCCTAAGAAGGGCTTGGGTGCTGGGTGAGCTGGTGGGGAGCAAGCAAAGCCTCACAGGCCTGGAGGTGTGACGTGGAGCTCCCATAGTTGAATAGCAAGGTGACTGGCAAATTAATAAAATCTGAGAAAAAAATCTAAGAAGTAAATAAAGGCTTGGGTCACTTTAAAGAGAAACATCAAGTAATTGATAATTGGGGGATGGTAAAGACTGGGAGCCTAAGGACGCCCCACCCTGGGGGGGGAGTCTGGCCGTTGGGTTCACGCCCCGCACAGACCCCCCCACCCACCACCCCCGTATCCCGCACCCCACTCCTTTGCCCCCATTTTCTCCTCCCTTTTTAGGTCTCCTATTGAGAAGCCTAAGACCCTATGGCTGGGGGGTTGGAAGGGCCATGGGGCCATGTACCCCAAGTCAGCTGGGTGTTAAAGGCTCATCTCGCCCCCAGGTCACCACAATGCCTGAGTACTTAAGGAAGCGCTTCGGTGGCAACAGGATCCCCATCACCCTGGCTGTGCTCTACCTGTTTATCTACATCTTCACCAAGATCTCGGTAAGAGGGGGCACAGCCTGGTGCACCCCCACCCACCGTGTAGCAGGGTCACTTAGGGCCCACGGCTGTGTCTCCCCCTGTGCACTTTCTCCTGGCTGGTGTCTCCCCCTGTGCACTTTCTCCTGGCTGTGTCTCCCCCTGTGCACTTTCTCCTGCTCTGGGGCAGCCTTGGGGACTGTAGAGGCTGTGGGAGGGGTGGGGGAGGGCAGAGGCAGTGAGAGCAGTGGCAGTGAAGGACTCCTCCCCCACTCTGGCTGGAGCTTCTTCAGCAAACTTGCAGGCTGGTACAGGTCGCAGCATGGGATTCCTGCGTCCTGCCAACGCCATGGGTCTGCTTCCTTCCTTCTGGTACCAGCAGCCGTGGGCTGTGAGCCCTGTGCTGGTGGCCTGCCTCGCCCTGCCACCCTTCTGTGGACCGCTTGGCGAAAGCGGGCAAGAGCAGGTGCTTGGCAGCTTCCAGGCACATGCTGCCCCCCCCCCATGCCGATGCCGTCCCTGGCAGCTGGGACTTCTGCTCTGGTCCTAAAGAGGGGGGGCAAGGGGGGCACACAAATGTCATCAGGTCTACAAAACCAAGCAACATGCTGACTGGCAGTAAGACAGAGCACTGGGGGGTGGGGGCAGCACACACTTTCAGATCCTTCAGTCTGGAGGGAAGCCTGGGATGGGAGAGGCCTCTGCAGGGACGTGGAGGTTAACATCCCAGGGGAGGTGGCCAGCCACGGGAGGCGAGACTGGCGCTTTGGATGAGCGCCTTGAACAAGCTGAAGTTCACAGATGAACATGCTCGTTAGAGAAGGGGTGTGTGTGTGTGTGTGTGTGTGTGTGTGTGTGTGTGTGTGGCGGGGGGTGGGTACTTCAGCGTGCCTGGAGGGCTAGCAACGAGATGTGGAGGAACGTGGACGAGATGTGGAGGAGCGTGGCCGGCAAGTCAAAGAGGAATGAAGGGTCTGGCGTGCAGTTTGCTGAGATAAGCTCTGGGAGATCATGGGGTGCCATAGGGAGTTTTAATAGGGAAGGGGGGAGCAGGGTTGTTAAGGTATTTGATGAAGGTTGCAGCATGGATGCAGAATGTAAGAAGATCAAGAAGAGAAACTGAAAGCCGGTGGAAGAGGCTGTTCGTCCAAGGAATGGAGCTCCAACAGAATGGCCCGCTGGGCTCCAGCTGGAGACCCCCGGTCTGGGGACAGATAGATGAAGAAAGGCCAGCGGACCACTCTTCAGTGTTTGGCACAGACGAGGGCTGGACGTTAGGCTAGAAGAACCTGCACTGTGGCGTCCACTCACTCTTCACTCATTCATTCACATTCGCTCTCGTCCATCTCGCGTCTCCACAGGTGGACATGTATGCGGGCGCCATCTTTATTCAGCAGTCTCTGCACCTGGACCTGTACCTGGCCGTGATCGGGCTGCTGGCCATCACAGCTGTGTACACTATCGCAGGTACGAGGGGACGAGGGTTGATGCTGGGAGAGGTGGTGGGGAAGGGCGGGAGCGCCCCATCCTTTCCTGGCCCATCCTATCACCTTTTAGGTATGTTTAGGCCAATCGCTCATTAACTTCCTCCCAGATAACATGGCTTCATCTTGGCCGTTGTCCAGCAGAGGAGAGGCCTGAGAAGTGGGAGGATAAAAGGCACATGATGTTATTTCTCCTTTATTTATTCAAGATCAATTTATTGCAAAACTAAATGCGTACACAACTGTAATTCTAGAGCCTGCGCTGGGGTAGTCTCATCGACCCTTGGGCTTGTACCTTAGAAGAGCAGCTGACGTTAGTAGGGCTTTGACAAGTATGTTTTCTCAGCTTCGCCCTTCCCTGCCTCCTCTTGGTCCACTATTGTTCACTCTACAGATACGTAGATACGTGTATGTAGGTACTGGACACGAGTGTCTACTATGAATATCCTCAGATGTGTGTGTATATCTGACCTAGAGAGGCATATCATCAATATGTATCCTACCTACTAATATAAATATATTGTACTAGGTGTATATTTCATATTTGGGGTCTGTTTGCCCCTGTTAGACTATAAACTCAGTAAGGACAGGAAGCTTGCTGTTTTGTTACCTCTGGAAACCCACATACCTTCCAGCACCCTGTAGAATTTAGGTAGGGTGCTCACCAGGTAATTGGTGAATCAGTGGATAAATTGCTACACACCGCCCCAGGCACATAATAGATGCTCAGTAAACACCAGCGTGGGTCTCAGGAGTACCAGCTTTAGGCTCTCACTGCACTCAGCCTAGTGAATAGCATGAGGACAGCAGAGATGCAGGACCAGAAACTAGCCCAGATCTCTCCATTAGCCTGTTCCTGCTGCCAAGGAGAAACACCACACCCATGTTCTTGCTATCTTATTGCACAGCAACTTTGCCACCAGTAAATGTTAATATCAGAAAAGAGCCCCTTCCCTTCTGGTGCAATGGGGGAAGGAGAAGGAAGAGAAAGAGACTGGAAAGACTGCTCTTTCCAGGGGCTGATGCCTTTGCCACTATGATTGCATTACAGAGATTTTTCTAGGTGGCAAACCAGCAAGGTGCAGCCACTTATCTGAGTATTAACACCTTGCATCCTTTTACAATGTCAACAGTAAAGGTGGTAGAGCCTGGCTGTAGTCCCAGCATCACTTTTGACAGGAGTTAGAAATTGCTGTGTAACAAGTCACCCACCAAGACAGGAACTGACAACAGCTTTTGATTCCACCTAGCTCTCTCCTTGGGGTGCTGGTGCTAGTTGAGGTGTCACCTACACTGGCTGGAGCAAGTGGGCCCCATTCCTGTGGGATGTTGGGGTCTAGGCTTGGAGCTGTGCCATGTTATCACTCCACCTCCCCCCCAGTACGCTGTTGGTCAAAGCAGATCATTGGTCAAGCACACATTTGAGAGGTAGAGAAATCCATTTCACCTGCACGCCAAAGGAGCCGCAAAGCTACACCACAAAATAAGCACATGCACCCAGCAAGGCCTCAGGGCGCTGAGCCTCTCAGGCAGGTCTGAAGTCCCGGGCTCCCTCCAGAGTACCCCATCTCCATCAGAGCCCCACCTCACCTCGGTGCTCACCTTCCACTCAGGTGGCCTGGCGGCTGTGATCTACACGGACGCATTGCAGACCTTCATCATGCTCATAGGAGCACTCACTCTGATGGGCTACAGTAAGTGGGGTCAGGGCGGGGGGAGGGGGGGCAGCACCTCTCTCAGCAGAAGCATCTGTTTCTCCTCTCTGCACTGGAGCTCTGGCACTCCTGCCAGGGCCTGTGCTCAAGTCTTGGCTGTTTCATCTAGAAGGGGAACACTGCTTCTCATGGCAACCTACTGTTCCTAAGTAAAAATTAGTAGTTCTTCCTTTGTGGCATGGATGGATGGATGAGTGGATGGATGGATGGATGGATGAAGAGCAAAAGGACAAGCCCAAGAATTGCATTGAAAGAAGGCAGAAGCATTGAAGGCGAAAGAGAAAATCTCCATTTCAATGCCAAAGTGGTAATCCCTGCAGGCAAAATCCAAAGATCTACGCTAAAGGTGGCAAGGGAAAGCATGTGAAGAAATGTGGGCAAACCTTTGATCCCACCAGACACACTGTAGGTCTGAGGGCAGCAGGAGCCAAAGACAGCTTTGGGAGGGCTCTTATTCACAGTCAAACCTCTAAATCCCTTGCATGAACGTAGTAAGGGGTCCCCAGGAGAAGGGGAGTTCACAGACCCACACGCTAGCCCTCCAGACTTCCTCCCGTGGCAGCTGCAGGTTCCCACACATCCTCCGACCCTGGACGCCAGCTCTCCCGCTGATGCTCCCTCTCTTGAATGTTTCATTGTCTGAGTTGGGGGTGAGACCAAGCTCCAGGTTTCATTTCACTGTACCCTCCTGTCCCTTTGTCTCCAGCCTCCTCATTCTGGCAGTGGCTCATCTACAGCTCAGGGTGGGGTAAGGTGGCGTCTCTCCACCTTGCGCACGCTTCACAAAGCATCTTCCAGGAAAGATGTGAGAGGTAGGAGAAAGCTGGGCAGTGGGTATGTGGCTATTTGTGCTGTTAGTCTTTTGCGTCGTTATCTAGATGTTTAGTTCCTTGACAAAATTCAAGGAAGATAGCTCAGGTTAAGAAAATTCTAGTTTGTATCATTTGCAAGTAGCACACTTAAAACAGAGGGTACCGGGTAAAAGACATTCAAGAGAGAAAAGTCATTTATAACCAGATGCAACACGTTTGCAACAGATAGGACATTTGTGCATGAAATGACATGACAGCAAGAGGGCCAAAGCCAGTTAGCAGAATGAGGAGAAATTGCCAGAAACCAACCAGTACCAAAAGATTTCACACGTGATAGAAGGAGACGCCAAAGGAAGGATTTAGATGTTACAAATCATATAAGTGAATGAACAATCTCACAATAGCAAATGATGTTTTGTCGAACATCATAGAACTATCTACAAAAATGAATGTTTCAGAAGGACCAATTTGGCAAAAATATCTGTTGTTCAGATTATATTCGTTTACCTAGGTAAAACAAAATATTAAGCTTTTAGGATTTTTAAAACATAATTTTAATAATACAATTATGTAGCAAGTTGAAAACAGTCTCCTCAGTTGTGCTCGAGCCAGAGGAAATACAGGCTGTATTTGGAAATAATGATGAGGACATTCTACTTTCCACTTGGTTTTTTTGAAACTAAGTTGTTTTTAGACCCCTGGCTTGATCTTACCATTTAATGGATAAAAAAAAAAAATGTCACAAGTTAATGGTTTGATGAGGGCCTTCAACTTATTTTTTTTATATATAATCCTTGGTGTTTCTATGTTATGCATTTCAAAATGTTATTAAGAAAAACAGTCAAAAATGATCCCAAAGCTATGAAAATGAAGGGGATAAAAGGAAGAACCTGCAAGGTGACAGGCTTCCCAGGTAGCTCTGCTCTTAGGAGAAGCCCATCCTCCCCCAGCCAGCCCCCATTACTTGCTTGGACCGCTGAGCTCCCGCAAAGCTGGGAGCAATCCTCTGAATTGCAGGTTTTGCCGCGGTGGGAGGCCTGGACGGGCTGCAGGAGAAATACTTCCTGGCCGTGGCTAGCAACCGCAGTGAGAACAGCAGCTGCGGGCTGCCCAGAGAAGACGCCTTCCACATGTTCCGAGACCCGCTGACTTCTGACCTGCCCTGGCCCGGGATCCTCTTTGGAATGTCCATCCCGTCCCTCTGGTACTGGTGCACGGATCAGGTAAGGGCAGGGGCCGCACGAGCCCCTGGGACACTTTTGGGGTGGCAGGCATCTGGGTTTTTTCCTCCCTCCATCTCTTGTCATTGCTGACTCTCCACCACCGTACTTAGCTGTTTCTTCCACTTTATTACTTTGCTCTTGCTCCTGTAATGAAGGGCCAAAACTGTTGATATCTGCAAGAGGGAAAGCTCAGAGCGCCCCTACTGAAAGTCTGGAAAGATCCAGGTAGCAGTAGAGATGGTGCATTTTAAATGGAGGTTAAACCTGACATGGATCTCATTTGCTCAACAAATACTCATGGGGGCCCCTGTGTGCCGGGCTATCCTGGGCACAAAGCCATCATGAGTACACAGATCAGATAAGGTCCCTCTCCACCCTCTTCTGGGGGAAGACAGACAATAAATAAATTATATGGAGTGAGAAGAGACGACAAATGTCATTTCTTAAAAGTCGATGGGGGGGGGCAGGGGAGTTGAGCATGCGTGCATTTTAAGATAGTGGTGAGGGTTGGTGCGTCTGGGAAGTGACCTTGAGTGAGGGAAAGAGTTTGCTGTGAGCAACAGCCAGCGCAAAGGCCTCTAGGCACAGACTCTGAACAGGTGTGCAAAGACAAGTGAGAAAGGCAGGAGGCCCCCGAACAAGCAAGCGCACCCAGTCCTCACCACTAGACCACCAGGAGTTTCCAAATGAAAGAGACTGACATCAATATTTGCATTTGCTTGTACGCGCATAAGGAAATGCAGGAGGAGGGTGGGTGAAACTGAGAAGAGAAGGTGCGGGTGGGTGGGGAGGCAGGCAGACCCACAAGCTCAGATGGGGTCGGAGACACTGCACGCCTATTTATGCTTTCTCAGGGTTCAAACCCAGGGAACCGTGTTCACCTGCTGAAATGTTCTCCTCTGGTACATTAAAGATCAGAGATGGACCCGCCATTTTGAAGCTATCCTGCCGCACCTGCGCCCATGAGAGCTAAACTAGGCAGAGATCGTGGACTGTGAGCACATACAGGAGTCTCTGCAGGGAATAGAACCGGGGCGCATCCTGGGCCAGACACCCCAAATGGAGGGCTAAGTGCCAAGGCAGCCAGGAGCACCCACACTCCCGCTTAGAGCCCTCTTCTGCTCCTTCGCACCCCTCACAGCGGAGGGGCCCTGGGGCACAGCACAGCTTGAGGCTCCCAGCTTGGGCTTTAACCTGCACAGGCTGGACCCACACTCACAGGCACCCCCTGAGCCGCCAGCATCTCGGTGTTGAATGGTCTGACTGAGAGGGACACCTGGGATTTGTCATAGTCCTCTAGTGTGGGGACATTTCATAAAGCCACTGGGAACATTCACACTTCCAGCTCCTCACAGCACACCAGCTTCTATTACCCATCTGTCCAGATGTTTACATGAAAGCCCAGATCCTCCTACCCTGAGTGACTGGGATTCCAGTGTGTGCCCCTTGATCATTGCTCAAGAGCGTGGACTCTAGAAGACTCGGTCTCCTTCTAAATACCAGCAGGCGGAGCCGGGGGCGCAATCCGGAGTCCACCTCACGCTGTGGGACTTGGGTCTCGACTCCGTGTGTCGCTGAGCTGGATTCTGCAGAGGCCAAAGACGGAGTCACTCTGTTGTGCTGGACCATGCTGGGCAACGCACAGCCTTGCCTACACCTAGGGCCATTTCAGGACAGAACGAAGGGACACGCACTCTTCACGGAATGGAGAGCATATTCCAGATCTTCCTGGGCAGAGAAGGAAGAGGTCAATGAAGATTGATGCTAGCAACGACACTTACACGCTTACCGATGCCACGCCGTTTGCCAGGCAGCTCTAGTCATTGAATACGTGTTCGTGCCATTCACGTGAGAACATTTCTGTGAGGCACATTCCATGCCTGGGACCTGGGATTGTCGACAGGGAACACCCTTCTCCCTGGGCTCGTGGTTTTCAAACCATACAACTCTCGTAAAACTTACTCAGCCTCACATTTGGATGTCCCATCTCATTGGACGTGTTTTCATTCAGTTTTGGACTACAGCAGAAAGGTTGTTCACTCTGTTTCTAGATGGACTGGCCAGGCTGGACTGGCAGCAAGACCCTCTCAGCACCTTCGTGAAGTGATACCCATGAAATAGATCCTGACAGCCTCAAATGGCCCCATGTTCTGAAGTGTCCTAGGAACCTCGATTCGTGTGTGTGAAGTCCTGAGAGACAACAGATAAAGTCAACCCCTGAGCTTCCCAGCTTGCTTAGAGGGATCCTCACTGTTCCCACCTTCCCCCAAACAAGCAGATTCCACATTTTAGAGTCTTTCAATCACAACATTCAGACAAATATAATCTGGTAGCAAGTGACATTAAAAAATATATATCAAACTTAAACTAGCTTAGCCAAAGGGTGGGGAATTTGCTGTAGAGAAATTGCAGAAGTTAAATTAGCTTCCAGACACTTCGGGCACTTTCCCTGGCTTCCCGCTCCACTACCTTTCTTCCTCTCCTGTTGATTTCACTGTCTCCCAGGACAGATCAAGCAGAAAGAAGCTGCTGATTCCCTAACTTCCAAATCTGAGAATTCTGCACAGGGGGTCCTACGTTGCCCCCCCACACACACACTCTGCTGTGTGACAGGGTTGTCTGTGGAGAAGGGGTGCGTTTTGCAAAGAAGGGGCAGGTCGTGAAGGACGACCACCCTCACGGATGAATTCCAGCGCTGTCCCCAGCCCTCAGCATCGCTGTGGCAACAGAGCAGCGTTTGGCTCCCTCTTGCCAGTGGCCCACTGGCCTGGCTCAGGAAGGTACTGGAAACAACCCAAGGCCTCTGTGAGCTCTCCAGGTGGCTCAAGACTCACAGCCTGAGGAAACAGTAAGGGGAGCTCAGAGCTCAGGGAGGCCTGATGCCTGGAGGGAGACCTGCAGGGACCAGACTCATCAGAGAACATGTAGACCAAGTCCTTCCTGTGAGTGGCTAAATGTCCACAAGACCAGCCTCACTCTGCTTAACAGAGAGGCTGCAGGGAGGGGTCAGGGTCAGACCTTGGCACCTGTGGGCTCAACACGTCAGCCTTGTGGGGGGCAACACCTCAGACCCTCCCGTCTCTTCCTCTACACTCTCTCTCCTCCCAGACACGAGCATTTGCAGGTTTCTCTGACCCTCCGTTCCGCTCTTGCTGTCTCTACTGGGCCCTTTGAAGGCAGCTGACCTCCCCCACTGGGAAAAAATCGTTGGTAACAACCAGCACAGACAGTCACACCTGGCCAGACACCCCCAAGGCCGCCCCCTGCTCCCTCGATTGGCTGTGTATCGGCTGTGTCCATGGTCTGCCCTGAGCCGGGGCTTTCTCATCTGGGTTCCAAGATTTACTTCTGACTCTTCTGCTTCGGGAATTGACTGGAACCCCTTCTGCGGTTTCATCCCACAGCACCAGTGATGGTGGCCATAGTCACAATGGCTCTCTTTGCTTAAGAAACTTCAAGGCGCCTCAAAACAGGCACTGTGGTTAGGCCACTGTGCAGATGAGAAGACTGAGGCCTGGGAGGAAAAGGACCAGTCCAAGCACCTGGACCCCTGGTGGGGAGTTGGCAGGACTCCGCCTGCGCTTGAGCCCCTCTGCCCATTTGTGCTAACTCATCAAGTGGAAGTGCCCTTGACTCAGAGCTGAGCCTCCGGCAAGAGAGAACCCCGCCCTTCCCTCCCTGCACCCCTCCCCACCTCTCCCCTGCCACTGCATTCAGCCCAGAAACCCAGACAGTTCTTCCCTTTACCTCCCCATCCCAGTGCAGGGAAAATTTGTACCTGATTGTATTTTTTAAAAAGAGTTATTTGATGCATACAAGAACTGGGGTGTAGGCCAGAGATATGGGGGTTGGGGAGGGCTTTGAGAGGATTCACCAGAGACAGAGTAGGGAGCAGATTAGGCAGATCTACTGAAATACACTGTTGAGGGGAGCAACAGGGGAGACAGGAGAGGTCTGCTGTGCCATGTGGGTCAGCTCCCTGGCCGGGGATCGAACTCGTGCTGCAGTGGCGGGTAATTGCTTGATAGCACTGGCTTTAACCCCTGCCCACATTCTTACATTATTTTCATTCTTCTCAGTTCTTCTGCCGGCCCCTGCCCCAACTGAGATGCTCCTTAGAAAGTGCTCCTCGGCTCCATTCCCTGTTAGTGTCTGACACTCACAGGAGTGACCCCCTCAGTGTGCTGAGGGCTCCAGTGAGTTCTGTGCTGAGATGTTCTGTGAGGCTCCATGTGTCACGCTATCACGCTACTCAGCTGGACCACTAGCAAAAGATGTAGATTACACATTGTCCTGGGTCATTGTGATGCCTTCTGGCAATTGTTTTACAGGGCCCAAATCCAAGGAGAGCCCCAAACAACACAAACATCCCACACACATGCACACTTATACTACGGAGTCTAAGAAATTATTAAGCCCGAGAAATCACTAAACCTAACAAATTACTAATAAGCCCAAGAAATTATGATTAAGGGTACAGTTCCCCCATTCAATGCTGTTACCATTAAGGATTCTTTGGGATTTACTAAGGATTCTTAGTTGTTTGTAAGGAAAAAAATGGTTCAAACTGAAAGGACTTTTGGTTTTCTAACTTACACAACTGAGAGACCTCAGCAGGCAATGAATCAGTAATGAATCAATTGTGACTGTTACTATCTTATTGCTCTAAGATTCTAAATGTTTTCACTTTGTTAATTATGGAGCCTGTCCCAGCGTTGCCCTCATTTTATAGTTGAGGAAGGGGAGGCTGAGAGGTCAAGTCGCAGGTCCGGGCTCACACCGCAGAGGGTTAGGATTGAAGGCAAGCTGTCCCCAGAGCAGCACCAGCAACCAGACCCAGCTGGATTGATTAAGGTCTCATCCTGTGTCATCAAAAATTGTTTCTCTGTCTCTTGGGTTCCTGGATTTCTTTCCTCAGAGATGACCTCCAACTCTAGGAAGCTTTTTCAGCAAGATGGCGGCAGGGCTGTAGGCGGCTGCTGATGCTGCCGGCTCAGTTAGCGAGTCTCCCGCGGTTGTAGGTGGTAGGGAGCGTCTATCTTATGCCTCTTTTAGGGAGCAGCCCACGGAGAGGTGTGAGCGACTTGTTTTGGGCTTAGAGTTTCCTGACCCAATCGTGGTAGCCAGAGAAGTCTGAGAAACAATTTCCTGAAGAACTCTGATTGGCCATCCCTTGGATGAAGGAATGGGGAGGGAGCAGGGGAAGGGCCATTTCTACCCCAGCTGGACCACAGGGATGGGGAACAGGGCACAGATGCTTCTACAAGCAGCTAAGACACCTGTCAAGAAGCAGTGCTCTCTTGGTTTGTCTGCAGCACAGCTGTCTCAGATTCCAACCACATCACTGTCTCCCAGGTAATTGTCCAGCGGACTCTGGCTGCCAAGAACCTGTCCCATGCCAAAGGAGGCTCTTTGATGGCCGCTTACCTGAAGGTGCTGCCGCTGTTCATGATGGTCTTCCCCGGCATGGTCAGCCGCATCCTCTTCCCAGGTGAGAAGACAGAGGAGCGGTCCTCTGTGAGTCTGTCTGGAGTCTCCGCCCCTGAGAATGTTCCAACAATTGCTGGCAGTCACCAGGGAAAGCACCTGTCGGGTTGTGCCTTAGGGGTACCCCAGGTGGGGGAAACTGGCCCTGACATGGAGGGCAGGGAGAAGCCAGGGACAAAGGCTAAGCCCTCCACATTGTTAGGTCATGGTTTTGTGGGTGTGTGAGGGGTAGTTTAGGAAAAGAGAGAAGTGCATAGTCACAGGTGGACTGAAGGAGAGCTCAGTAGGTGATAGTTTTAATCACCTCTTAAACTTACTTAAGAGCCTTTATCTCCTGTGAGTGCAAGATAAGAGAGTTTTCTGCCTGAGTCCACCAAATCTTAAAGGTTTACATGGAGGCCATTACTCTTGTGCTCCTGCAGACAGCTCAACAGTGCACAATGCATTTTATCTCAGGGATATGGCCTCAGGCAGCTCCTGGGGGCAGGGAAGGCTAGCAAAAGGACATTCCTGGGTAGGAAGCTAATTACCCTTGTGACCCCCACAGATGGTGTTTCCTGAAGGCTCCTGGGAAAGTCCTTTCACATTTTAGTGTGTGAGATTTGTGGTTTGTGACTTTAACCCAGTGGACCCCTTTGGGGGAGGGTACTTCTAGAAAAACCAGGGATATCAGATCTTCTAGAGTATTTCCTTGAGCTCAACCCCATGTATTTCCTTGAGGTCAACCTCAACCATGAGGTAAGCCTGCTACCTCAGAGGGGAATGTAAGACAGAAAGTGCTTTCTCCTGTGACTTATCCTACAGGACATTGTGCAGAGGTGAAGAAAGGGTGGGCTGAAATGGTTAGATGCCTGAAGTTTTGTCAGAATAATTTGAGACATTCACAAAGGAGAAGGAGTTGCTGGGCAAGGAAGTTAGGGGCTACCAGTGACGCTAGATGGTCACTGGGCCTGTGCTCTGTGAGCACCGGTGGAATAAGGAGCCAGGGAGGACCGGCCCTGTTTCCAGGGAAGGGGCACAAGGTTTGGAAAAACCCGTTGAGAGTAAGAACTGGGATCTGGGGATTGCAGTGACTGGATGGGCTATAAACTGCTATTGGCAAGGCCTGACAGGCGACAGGGAAACTGGCATAAGACGGTGAGGGCCGTGGGCCGAGGGCTGTTGCCCGCACGGAGAGCCGCAGAGGGTGCTGGTTGTGAATATCGGCTCTGGTCTGAGTCGCCGGGCCTGGACCTTGACTCCACCACTTATTATCTGTCTAGCCTTGGATAAGTGACTTCATTTCTCTTTTCCTGTTTCCTCACTGGTAAGATGGAGATAAAACTTTCTTTTAAATTTTTTTTTAAAGATTTATTTATTTTTGCATACAGAACTGGGGTATAGGCCAGAGGCGCAGGGGCCGTGAGAGGCTTCACCAGAGACAGAGTGGAGAGCAGAACAGGCGGGTCAGGAGAGGTCTGAGGCGCCATGTGGTCACCTCCAGGGCAGGTGGGGATGGAACTTATTTGGAAGTGGCTTTAGCTTCTTAGTGCTGTGCTTTAACCCGCTGCGCCACCAGGGAGGGCCCGGAGATAAAACTTTTTTTTTAATCATCCATTTTTTAAAAATAATATAATAGTTTATTTTTACATCATTTTGTACATTTTTTTTTTCATCTCAATTGTAATCCCCACGGGTTTCCCATCACCAAGTC